CCGTGTTAGGCTCGAAGAGCGGTTCCATGCCCTCAGTGTGGAGCGGACTACGGTCCAGCCACCGCCTTGTGTGCGGTTGATTCCCCAACTACAACGTGCTTGGGTTTGCCTGTGAAGGAGTGTGGGCCGGCTCCTTTGATTAAACGTGGCTCCCATTCACATGCCTCCCGGTCTTATTCCCTTGGGTTTACACTGGATATGGGGTGTGTGGATGGAGCTGTGGGTGGTGCAGCGCAAGCCATCCATGGTCCATCTGTAGGCGCAGGCGTCCTGTGGCTGGTCACAGTGGCAGTCGAATCCGAAACCGGATGTCGCCAACCATATATATATATATACATATATATATATATATATATATATATATATATTTGAAAAACTGAATCATTGGTATTAGCTTTCAGTTGAAGTTACTGAGTGGATTCCAGTCTGACAATCGGAACATGGTACTTTAAATTGCAATAGAGCCTTTGATTAATTTGTGCGCAGCATCTCAAAGCCCGTTTTAATAATCAGCGCAGTACGACGCTAATGACATTGAAATAGTATAATCGAAGAAAATGTCAATGATATCCAGTTAAGACTGTTGATTTCGCTGCAGGTAAACTAATGACGGTGTTCCGGTTAAATGACAACGGCCGGTCTAAAAAACCCGCCGTAGCCTTAGAGTACACCGAGGTTTTACATGAGAGACTTTGGATGCAACGGTTGACTGACCATAGTGTATGTTCGACTGTGCTCACACTTACCCACCCCAATGAATTGCAACTTGACCCGGGTCCATCGGCAAGTTAACCTCTGCAGACCGCATTGGAGAGGCGGTTGGGGTCCCGCTGAAGCAGGTCACAGTCATTGAGTGTGTGAATTACTCTACACACTTTCAGGTCATTTGCAAACAAGACACAATGAGAAGGGAGAACCTGTGGCACATAGTTTACATGGATCAGGAACAAAATGGGCCGCAGTACAGTGCTTTAGGACACGCCACTGTTTGAGGCAAACCATTCGAACTGGACCCACCACTTTCAAGCAAAAAGAAAATTCCTGGTATCTCAGTGCAGCGAGCTGCCAACACCGCGCACCATCAGACTGTGAAGGAGCGCACCATGATTCATCTTGTCAAAAGCTTTACTGAAATCGGTGTAAATGACCTCAACCGATCTGCCTTTGTTCAGCGTTTGCAACCATTCATCCCTCCTCAACAGTAGGTTGGTGCATGAATGACCTTTCACGAAACCATGCTGGGCGGGCGTCAAGAGGCGTTTCGATTCGAGAAGCTGCAGAACACCCTTCTTCACCATCTCCTCAAGCGTTTTTGCCGTAACAGCGGTCAGGCAGATCGGCCGGTAGTAATCCACTTTGCGTGGGTCACGACCTTTCGGTATTGGCTTTACGACTGAGCATTTCCATTATCCCGGTAATAGTCCAGTGGATAGTGACCTGTTGAACAGATCAGTCACAGAAGATGAGATGATCGCCGATAGGGACTTAAGGAACAGTGGATGGATTACATCTAGCCCGGCAGGCTTCGTCCGTCAAGACTTGCCCGCAGATTGCGTGCATCTTCAATGCTACAATCCAGGTTGTCAAGTTCAGCGTGGACTGTATCCGTCGAACTCGGTATTGACACCTGGTCACTTGCAAATACGGAAGCGAAATACACCATCAATGCGGACGCACAATCTATGTTCGAGATTATTAGGCTGTTCATCTGAGCCCTCCAACACTGGCACATTGCCTGTCGGCCACAGGCGCTACTTCACATAGGCGAAGATCCTCTTGGGAGCAGTTTTTGCTGCGGCTGCCAGTTGCTCTTCGGACTTTTTGTGTTTTCACACTGTTGCACAGAGCTCGCTGTTTTTGTACGCCTCCTAATCTTCATCGGGGCCAGACAACACGAATTTATTCCGCAGTCTGCGTCGCCGTCGAGCCAATTTTCTGTACTCTTTGTCGAACCAATGTGCTTGACTGGCCTAAATCTCCGATACTTTAGGGATACAAATCAGGCGCACAACGATTTCACTCTCTCTTTACTGATGGTCCGACCTGACTCAACAGATTTATCTTGTTAACGATCAGTCCAGCTTACTCGCTGCTCGAGTGAGGCAATTAAAGTCCGCCTTCAATAGTTGAAGGCTGGATTCAGCGGAGGAGAGTACGGCAGCTCTAGTTGCAAGCTGGTTATGATCATCGGGTGGTAACTCGCTCCCAGGAACTACAAGACCTGAATGTCTTGCACACATTATTCACATCTAGTCACAATCTGGTAGAAGTACGATGGAGTCGTGCGCGCAGTTATGCGCGTTGGTTGGTTGATGTGCTATGTGATCCCAGTCTCAACTATCACCTCCGCGAATTTCCTCTCGAGTTCACAATGGCCGGGGCGAATTTATGCTTTAGGCCACTGTATTCGAGGTAAGTTGAGATGTCTAATTAAGAGAAACAGCAGACGACTCACGTGGTTGCGGACATACGGCAACCAGTCCAAGCAGCGGCTCAGTAGTCTGCGACAAACCACGTCCACGGACGTCTGAAGTGAATCGAACACTATAACAGCTCACAAAGACCATTAGCACTTCGGGTGGTTCTCACGAGTCTCCCACACAATGAAAACCTTACGTAAAGCAGCACGCCACTGCGATCATTGTATGGTCTATCACAGCTTAAGCACGAGTAGCCGCTGATATTTACTTCTTATGTGGTTACTTCGGAGTCTAACCGTCTCAGCAAGGCCTAATACGTCTGACCGCTGAGAGCTGACAAATAGGACAGCCCATCTTCAGCAAACTGCAGACGTTAGTAAATGCTTCACCCAGGCCGCATTAAGAACCGCCGGTCCAGCTTGAAGAATTATAAACCTGTTTATACGGATTCGCGGGTGACTAGCCGAAAATCTACAATGCACAGATTTGTTTCTCCATCGTCCACGAGTCGATTTAATTCAATCGTTGAAGACTTGCATTTCTGTCTATCTGCTAGATCTCTAGACCTTTCAGCATACTAAGGGGGACAATATCAACTTAGTGCTTAGCACTTCAAATAAGTTTCAAACGTCGAGTTTTGCTCTCAGTTCTCTTTCCGAGACGGGCGATTTGTTTTTCGGCCTGCCCTCATCGACTTCGAACGGTCTATCAGACTGCAAAAATCGACGTGTGTTAATGGCGCACCTGAGGACTGAAATCATAAGATACAGGTGCGTGAAATATCATGAGGCTGCGGCACCTCGTATCTCTGGAGCTTGTTCTCGGCTTCTTTGATCTTTGCGTTTTCTATTCATCACCACTTTGCTTGCTGCACTCCGGAGCTTCAGCGTCATTCGAAGAAAACGCAGGCAGCGAAGCAGAGCTTACCGGATTGCCAGCACTTTATTCCGGGGATAGAGGAGCAGACGTACTGTGTGGTTGATTCGGCGCAAGTTTAGATTGACATGGTTTACAAATGATTTCAGAACGCCATGCTGGACCTCTCGAATAACGCGAAATTAGTCGACGGATTAACCGACGCATGAAATATGGAATTTGTAATGCAAAATCTGCAAATCATCACGTTTGCGCGATAGACGACAATTTTAGTATATCTGCCACAGAGCGTCTGCTTTATCATTCCAAAAGTAAATACTGATCGATGCGACTGAATCAAGGAGCTATAGCATCTTAAAGTATTAGAATTAACTGGCACATGTATTTTAAATAAAGTAATTTATTCTCAGTAATGACAATGAATTACACCAAACACAGTTATAAAAACGACTTTAACAGTGCAAATGTTAGGTAAACTGGCCTGACCTTGATGGCAGCCAAATGTGACCCGGACGTTGCTGTCCTCAGTCGGGTGATGTTGTTGCTAATAATAACAATAATAATAATAATACTATTTTTATAGTGTTGCTCATCCCAACACTGGCACCTCCAAGCCCACCTTTGCATAATAATACTCACTTATCTTCAGTCCACGGCCAGCTCTTTGTGTTACATGGGGAACCTATTTAGCCGTAGGACACATTTTGCCTTTCAATGTGCCTTCAACCTTCTACTTGTGTTTGGGTATTTATTTCGGCGTTTCTCCATTTGAATAAATGAGGACCTGTCTATCACTGGCATCTCGCACAAAAACTCTGCAGTGTTCTACGGCATCAGAATGTTGATGAGCGGTTTTCCATTTACACGCAGCGGACTTCTCAACTTAGACATTCAGCCAATATACTTAACCTAAGTGTGTTGCTTCCTTCATTCCATCCATTTGCACCGCGCCGTCATCCACCAGTGTGGTGCGTGCACCACCACCGTTGTCCTTTCTTTAATACCAAAATACTACTGCTTAGTTGTACCGGAATACAAGCTGCCATCACCCCTACGTGGCACAGGTTGATCTTGTCGCGTCCAACCGGTCAGCTGCGAACATTGATATTTATGACACTTCTGTGATAATTCAGAGATAATTTCTCGCAGTCCACTCTCAGTCAGCACGCTTTAGCACGTATGGAAGAGCACCAAACAGCGCTGCTTTGACCTCCTGGGTCTCGTCAGTGGTGCGCCTTCCTCGGACGCCTACCGAGTTCCGACCCCATGACTTCCGGATGCCAGCAGCTAGTGCCACGTCGCCATGGGTGACAGCCGCTGATGTGCAAAATTGACAGTTGACTGTTATATAGCCTGGCTCATCTTCCACTACCGTGACAGTTACGAACTGTGCCGAGGACAGCGGTTATCCCCACGACCTAGAACTTTCCACAAAGCGACTGTGTGGAAGTGCGCCTTCACTCATACCTTCTTCTTCTCGCTATTTGTCATATTCATTCTGCGGTGTCATTTCACTCTTGGCTTCGTGCGGGGCTCAACTTGTTCACAGGATTCACAACTAATAATAATGTTTTAAAAGTCAGTTTTTATGCAGCAGAAATTTATACAAGGATTTGGCTGGTCAACCGATTGCAAATGTCAAAAACACTCTTGGTTCACGAATATAACATGTCTTCCGATTTGTCGTGCAGAAGGATATAGTTCTCATAAGCGCCCCAATCGAGCAAATCTTTGCCTACTCAGAGTGGCAAGTGGCCATTGAAAAATAGGTGGGCCATACCTCTTTCCGAGACGCACGAAATTCCGCTTTGATCTATCAATATCGTGCTCGTCTGTCCAGTTGAATTCCGGGGAAGATGCTTGGGCACTTCCTGGTTCCTTCCTTTCCATTTCCCACCACTGGCTTACCCAGTTTGGCTGCGTCTCTATGTCCTCAAGCACTTGCATCGCTCTCCCGTCCACCTGAATGTTATGCGGCATCATCAGGATCACTGCACATGTTGACCAGAGTGCCCAGTGAAGGCCGGAAGTAATTTTTCGTTGCATCTGGTTAGAGAGAACGTAATAATGCAGCATTAGCACATCCATCTACATTCCATAAGCAATGTAAATCCCTTAGTGTTTGAATACTCGTTCATACACGACAGGCGATTAAATTGTAAGGTATTACATTTGACATCGGCGGTGGTAAACATCTAAGTCTATTAACTCGGCCGGTGGCCGAGTGGTTGGCACGTTTGCTTTCCAACCATAAGGTCACCGGTTCGAATCCGCGTAGGGGTGGGCGTCCTCGCGGTATACTCAGCCCGCGCGCGACTGGTGGTGGTCGCGCGGCAGCGAAGCGCCGTTACGGCGTATAAGCTGACACAAGTCTATTAACGGTTGTTATGGAAGTGGACAGCCACCTTTTTCTACTACTACTTTGTTCGTACTGACAGGAATTTCAAAATGGGTTGAAGTCATATTTACACTAACAGAATTGGATTTCTGCAACCTTACGTCCCAATCATTTGCCCCGGTTCTTTATTTTTTTACAGTATGAATTGCTTATGTAGTAACTCAACTGTGTGTATCAGGATGTGGTCTGAGTAGTTGTAGGTATCCCCATACATTGTGTAGATTACTGACCGAATCGGATGAGTATGTGTGCATGAAAAACTACTAAGGGCCCCCCAACCTCTCAGTAAACAGAAAGCGGTACATTTCCAGCTATTTGCTGCTTCTTATCATGTGCTTATCAGCTGTTCTTGTGACCACAGTTATTAGACCCCATTCGGTTATCTTTAAATCGTCAAGTTCACTTTTGTCTGTGCATACCGCGGTGCTATTATTGCCCACTTTGCACTTGAGCATTAAGGCATCGTTCCACTAATCATCATAAACACAGTTTCCTGTGATTATTTCAGCCAATTACTTAGGCAGTTCAGGCAATATGCGACGTTGGATTGGAATACCGATATCAAAATATCTGTGAACAGACGGTTTAGCTTCCTTTTTCCAGCTCTGTTATGCGGATCTTCGCACAGCAAATACTTATACATTTCTGATGGGTAATAAATAGTGGGGATTTTGGTGTAATTTCAGAGGTATTTCGCCGCAATCCCGTCTCTGTCAGCAGGCTTCGGTAAGTCTCGTAAAGCACCAGACGGTCGTTTCGGCCATCTGGGTTTCGTCAGTGGTGCGCCTTCCTCGGACCCCTGCCTGGTTCCGACCCCATGACTTCCGGATGCCAGCAGCTGGTGCCACCTCGCCATGGGTGACAGCCGCTGACGTGCAAGATTGACAGTTGACTGCGATATAGCCCGGCTCATCCTCCACTATCCTACCAGTTACGAACTGTGCTGAAGGCAGTTGTTGATCCCAGGAGCTAGGACTTTCCGCATAGCCAATGTGTAGTGAGGATTTTGGCATAATTTCAGAGGTATTTCGTCGCAGTCCCTCTCATGCTTTCCCGAGTTTGGTGTTAACACCTTACGCTAAACTGGTGTATATTCATCTGCCAACACTGGTTGCGCCCACATGTTACATACGGGTCACTACTAGGCAACTCAACCATTTAGCGAGACCCAACTCGCTTGTTCAGCTCCAACATCCGTGGTAGGCGCGGCTCTAAGTTAAATAGAAATTTGATATAATCTAGCCACTATGCTGAGGTAACTGCCTGAGGAGACATGGTGAGTTTGGGGTCACATAGTGATTGATAGTGATTGCAATATGAACCCATATACCATATGTAGGTAGTCACCTGCTGTGCCTTCAGAACTAAGCAGTAAAGGGGAACAGCTTGAGTGGCGTCTTGGCTGCGTTTGTATCAAGTGCTCACCATGTCTGCTAGTCGATCATTACGGCGTGTATTATTTGTCAACACAACTATTATTTGGATGAATCCCGAGGTGACTGGTCAATGACATGTAACAAAAGAATGAAGAAACTTAGTGACAGTTTAAGTCTAGTTACTTCTCTCCCCTGATTCGATCCTCCAGACCGGCCACATTAGTGACTTGATACCTTAATGGATACGGCGGGTTCACAGAGTCAGTGTTACACTTTTGCTTTGGTTCCCCGATTTTTGGGTTTTAACTGCCTCACCTAACGATTTTATCTCTTGCTTTTTAAGTTCTTATTATTATTGTTTGGTAACCTGTTTCAAGACAACTAGACTGATCATACTTTGGTGCAGGTATCATGACCGACAAACCGGACTGAACTGGGCCATGAATGTTTTGCATGCTGACATCACTTTAGCATTTTATATCAGATGAACTAGGTCGAATGTATGCACCTGAATATTTGGAGGGTGAATAGCACCCAGACGACTGTAGCCTACTTCAGCAAGGCCTCAACCGCCTCTCGATGTGGTCTGCGGAAGTCCACCTCCCGGTCAACCCAACCAAGTCGACATTTATGAGCTATGGGAATGGCGATGAAGACAAATTTTACACCACTGACGGCCAACCGCTACATCCCACACCTTCCTTGAACTACCTAGGTGTACTCACGTGACAACACTAACAGTATATAGTAACGGACTGTGCATGTTTTGAGCGCTCAAACGCAGCTTCTGTATTGTGCCTGATGAGGTTGCCACTCGCCTCTTCCATCATTAGACTAACACTGGAGTTCGGATCCCGTGGCTACTGCCCAATCACCCGAGGCGAGGCACAGAAGATCGAACTAGTTCAACACACCGCTACCAGGCCCATTCCAAGATTACTAGAATTATCATAGGAGGACCGGTGCGAGAAACTAGGACTCTATACCTTATCCTATCGTCTGGTACGTGTCGATCTCATCATGACCTATCGTATATTATATCTCGGTGACTTCCCCATGTTGAGGCCGCTGCTTCACTTGCGAACGCTATGCAACACACGCGGACACCGGTACAAGCTTGTGGTGCTGGATATAAAACGATTATCTCATCCACTATGCTTCGAACGAAGAGTAGTAAGTGTTTAGAACCGTCTGCCAGAAGAAGTCGTGGAGGCCAAATTTGTACAGCAGTTCAAAACGTTGTTGGATTTACATTTTAGCATCATTCGATTCAGAGGACCATTGCACACTTCAATGACATCCTGCGTTTGAGAACGCAGTGAAACTGTAAATCAGTTTTAAAATACTACTTAAGCGCTTGCAGAACGATTAGGTTATCACGGATTGCAAACGCATTTTGTAACAGTTTTGCGTATTTCACAATGTGGTTGAACAGATTTATGTTTCTACATGCTCCCACATAGTGTATTCAGTATTCAATCTGAAGGCAGTATGTGGGTTATTCTCTGCGTCATAAGCCGACGCAGAAGCCGAATGTGAGTGTCGAGCTCAAAAAACCTGATTTCTGTCTTGATGCTCAACGCTCACCTCACACTTCTAGTGTACTTCCTGTTGCCGAAAACTCAGGTAGAGTTAGAACTGATGGTTACAAACATGCTCGTTGACAGTGTACGACAAGTCGTATTAGCGTAATAGGGGGACACTGCTATGGATCCAAAATTAGCCGGTTGCATGTATTTAAACAAGCTGATTTGCGTGCGAATGGGCCGAGTTTGGGCTTTGACTGCTGCTCCGGTTCGCGGTTTGTCACACACATACCTCAACCTATCCTTAAAAACAATAAACAATGCACAATGATTTATGCCGGATAAAAAACAGTTGCTTGATCAGTCCCGCAGGATGGTGGGGGTAATCTACACTTATCGAAAGGTACGTGAGTTACTTGTTCGAGCGTTTATCTAACAGCTACGCTGCTGAATAATAGTAGTGTGAGTGGGAATTGAATGCGAACCAGGAGGCAACATGGGGACTGTTATAGTTGTTGTACTCCGTGTGGAAAGTAAAAAACGAGGATACTTACTTCTGTACCGCTTCCTCAGATTTATGTAACAGGTTAATCCAGTTTGAAGGTATAATTAATATATTCTAAAGAAACACAGTTGCTCCCACTAGTTCCAATTCGGTGAATCCCCAGAATGGTTGTTCTTATGTTATACCAGCGCAGTTGAACGGTTAGCACGTAGCGGAGCCCCACTAGTGGCTTTTTCTTCCTTTCTCTACCAAATCTAATAAATGGTGCCTGGTACATTGCATTCTGTGGGAGAAAAGGTAAAAGTGCCAATGGTCCCCTACATTCGTTGCTTCCCCGCAGACAATCTTATATTAAGGCTACTACTCATCCTGCTGCTTGAAATTTCCGCGACATTCCTTACAACCGATTATTTCATGTGCACAAATCTGCCATCTATCTCCCTCAATTCCGATTGCATGATCAAGGAAAAAGGCCAGATGTTCCTACGGTAGTATAGTACACGTAACCTTGTGGGCCCATTACCGATACGTCATCACAAACCATGAAACCCAAGCAAGCTTTCCTCACTCTTATCATCCTTTGACGATTGTTGAGGGAAAATGCTACACCATCCACCTGGATCTTGCTGATAAACCATTGGTTGAGAGTGACGTGAAAATTGCAGGGACGTCGAAAGCCAAATCCGGCAACTTGCTAATGCTCATGATTGCTACACCCGCCATACTACAAAAAGCCAGCTAAAGTTACGATAATCTTGCAACTATGCGCACCAACGCACCCGAGCCCAAAACAAAGTAATAAAGACGAAAACAGCTGGGCGATTAGAACTCGCTTTATGGTCATGTTTGGATTCGGGCAAAACCTTATAACTTAATGCGCGGCACAAGACAGCTGAACTCGGTGTGCTACGTTGGACCCTGACTAGTTCGGGTAACACCTGAAACAGCAAAGGAAGTCAAGGCCGCGCTTCTGTCGGCCTTTATCCTCCGGAACGGACTACATTGGTTCAGCTCTTCCCAACTATTCCCTGCTACGAACATCAGTGTGATAAAAAGGACTCAAAAGACCGCCGCATGAAATACAGCAAAAATCCCATTTCTATGGCGCAGCCCATCTAGCGGCTAGTGATGCTGGAGTCTAAGAGGACGACATGAAAGAGTGATGGTAGATCATTGGAAATATGCTATTGGTGCCATGGCTCAGTTCCTATCGTGGTTGCTTGTTTCTTTCCGGTACAGAG